GTATCAATGCTTTACGTATGAACAATAATTTATATATTTTCTACTTCGATCTACGTAGTTTCTAGTTTGCATAAATGTCAATTAAACGTGTCTGAGTACCAAGATTATCAGATGATCTGAACATGAAAAGCGCAAACTTTATCAAGTATGACAACGCAATATTTTCTAATACGAGTGACTCAAGAATTATCCCAACTTGTTTCCATAAACCCTTATCATCTCCCTTATTTGTAGTGAGACATTATTTTATCTAATATATAATCCATTATAGCAACTCTATTGGATAACCAAATGAGATTCTTTCACAACCCGGAGAAATTGCATTAAGTAAGGTTTTATAATAATCATTATCGATGTTTGACAGCTAACTCAGTGAATTCGAGAAATACCACTTTAATCTAAGTCAACCTTGAGATCAAGGTCATTTTTGTGCACAGCTTTGAATGTTCGTATTGTTGTCACTATATTGAAGCAAGCAGCGCTCGAAACCAAAAGTTCCCGTTATCTCAGTGAAGAGGACAGAAATAGAGTCACGAGAGCACACAAGCTGGGATTTTCGATATCAAAACTTGCCCAATGCTTGAACGTCAACAGAAGCACAATTTACAGGTTGGTAAATTTATTTATTTAAGCAGTCTGGTTTACTTATTATTTGCTTTTAGACTTCAGAAAAGATGCATGACTCAAGCAATTTCCCCCTAATAGCCCGAATCTCAACGTGATTGAAAATCTATTTTCTGTTTTGAAGAGAGGGGTCAATGTGCTACCTGTGCATTGGATACTGCAGGTACAAGTGCGATACGTAATGGAGCACAAAATAGAAAATGACTTCATGACAAAGTTGGTGGATTCGACGCCGAAGAGACGCGAAAAAGTCCTAAAGAACAAAGGACAACCGACTATTAGTGTACACAAGCTTTACATCTGGCTTATTATCTATGTTAATTTGCTGTTAATAAAAACTGTTTCATTCTCTTTAGTTACCTCTTAACTCATCATGGTCTAGATCAACCACTACTGACGAAATGGTCAGCGAAAATCCGAGTTACATACTCCAAAACCGTACTGAGGAAGAATAGCCTAATTTGATTAGAATAATTTCGCCTAATTTCACGGAAAATCGATTTTTGACAATCCGTCACAGGAGTCTGATCGATTCTGCATGACATAAAAGAAAAACAAAGCAAATGACGGAACATAACAATCCGAGTGGACAGTCGTTCCAATAAATTTTCTCCAGCATCATATCGCCGAGGTCGTCCGAAATGTTATAACCAAAGAACACAGTTTTCTGGATTTATTGCTACACATACACATGTGCGGTCGAGGCCCCCCCTCCGTCCCAGCCGTTCGATTCTGATATATTTGCTCGAGATCAGATCGAAAAAATACGAAATACAGAAGAACAAACTTCGCCGAGCGTTGCAATGACCACAGTATGCACTGTATAAATGTAGTTGCGCAATGTGAGCAAGATTTTGGTCTGTCTGAGGGAACGAATACAGAATGAGTGTTACTGCGTAACGTGACGACGCATGCAATCGAACTATGCACCCAAAAGTTTACACTTCAGTTTCGTCAACCACAAACACGATAGGCATGTGCGTGCGCTAAAACGATCAAGCACCGGCGGATTGTACAAAAATGCAAAAAGAAAGAGCGACCAAAAAAGAAGAAGACGAATGAAAATTTCTCAAACTGAAAACTGTGAACACCACGAGAGAAAACGGATGGGGACACACCAAAATGAGTGTTCAGGATACTTACAAACCCCACGAGACAGTCAACAGGGTAGTTTGCACATTTTTCTTGATGCGACCGGGGAACCAGACGGAGAACTGCTCGAACACACTGCCTTCGAGCATAGTTCGTGCAAACCAGCGCACACTCCACATTCGGGCCTCATGGGCACCCAGTGAACGTGACGCGGCCAGGCTGTTCAGAGGTACTAGCATCACAGCACTAGGCAAATCGAATCCGTGATTCCCGGCCTCGACCGCCTCAGCTGACAGACCGCAACCGATATATTCCACATGTTTGGCTCCTGTCACNCACAATCAGATCGTGATCGACGTCATACTGGGGTGCGGGGGCACAGGGACGGGAAAGCGGTTTTTTCGAATCCACATCCGATTGGGTATGATCATGATCACGGACATCCTCGTCCGTGTCTACATCAGATTCGGTGTTCGTACAAAGCACGGGTGAATGCGACTGGGTGGAATCAGGCCGTTCTGTAGACTCCGGGTTGTCTGACAGTACCAAGCCGTCCACACGATAGTTATGCGGAGCTAAGAAAGGAATCCAGCGAGGATCGATAGCGCACACAGCTATGAACAGGAAACAGTGGGCAAGAATAGTTGAATGAAATCAGATCGGCAGATAACAAAACCCCCATTCAAAAGAGGGTGGCGTTCTGATACTACTCCCAGACGACCATCATACTAATGCACATGAAAAAACCGCGTACATGAGAATAAGCATAACAAGAAACAAGCGTATTTCTTATTACATCCAGTAATCGTACACCAGGAAACCCGATGGATGATGAGGTGGTCCGTTCGTCACGTGCTCCGTACGATCTTTCGTGTCAAATCATGAATCGGACATATGCAAGCTTCCACAAATCAGAGACTGAAGAGATCAATCATGCGAAAAAGATAGTGATTACAAAGCGTAGAAAATAATCAGGCTAACAGTTAGTTTCGTCTAGCGTTGCACACTACTTAATCATAAGTTTGCTTTGTTCAATGATAAAAAACAAACAAGAAAGCCTTAATATTTTGACACTCGGGGTTCCTGATGGAATCTCACATTGTGGCAGCTACGTAGTATACACGGTTCAGCGAGGTCGGTCGTATGATTTTGTTCGGAATGGTAGGTTTTTATGACATACATTTGTGTGGTGAACAGCAAACGGGGTGAATCCCATTGTCACGAAGACTTACTGTTTCGTCATGGAAACCGGTAACCCTAAGCCCCGCGGGGACTTGGAGTGGCGAATCACATAAGGCCTCGCACTAGATTAGCCGTGGTATTGAACCGGACGAGAGCAAAGTTACCTGCACCACCAAAGTTGGGTGACGATGGAGGGGCTCTAACCGCCGACCAAATAGTGTCCAAAGCATGCCGATGAGAGACTTAAACCATTGCGAGATCACCACCGCCACCACCGCTAAGCAAAATGTGGAAAATCCGAAGAAAAACTACCTAGATAGTTTAAAAAGTTATAGAATTATACAGAGAGTCAACAGTGCACCCGCCAAACTGGTTCGCGTCGCCGTAGCATCATCGTACAGACAAGGGGAAATGATTCAAGGGCGGTGGTGGCGCAGTGGTTTAGTCGCTGTCGCCGGCGTGCTTTGGA